CAAAGTGTATATTTTTATTTGGTATTTAATTTTTTTATTATTAAAATCTTTTTATTATACTTACCTTTTTAAAATAAAACAAATAAATTAATCAATTAAATAAATAAAATATTATAATACCAAAATAGTAATGGTATTTAATGCAGTCGACTTTTCGGGATAGTAAATGTAGTAAATAGAATCTCCTTTTATATAAGTATATATATGATATTATATTATGTTGCTAAAAATAGTAATGCATTTATTGCATTGACTTTTCAACTTACTAAATTTTGTAAATGGTACACCTTATTATATAAGTATAGATTTAGTTGTTAATATAAGTAATTTTTGCAATATGGTTAAAAATATTCTTCAACTATTTTTTGCCCAAGCTCATGAAAATTTTTGGATCCGTCGCTGATTAGATGGCATTAATGTCACGTTACAAGTGCTTGAGATCTGTACGTGCACTACATATACACGAGATTTTAAAGTATCCCGCTAGTATTTAACTAATTTCTACCTAAAAGCTATATATAATTGAATTTATCCACATTGTATGTGTGTATCATCCACGAGTATAAATATTTTCTCGCTGAATATTATTTCTATTCCTAATATATTTTTACAATTTACATCTCTTATTTACGATTCATGCAATGATCTTTACATTGTAAGATCAGTTTTTCCAACTATATCCTTAATTCCATTATCTATTTAACCGAGTGATTTCAATTAGATGTGATTAAATAGAACAAAAATCATTTATTTTTTAAAAAGAATAAACAATATTTTCAATTATATTGTGTAATCCATAAGTGAGAGAGTATTTAATAGGCTATTTAATAGTTTAATCCTCAATCTTTGTCCGTTTTGGCAAGACATCGAATCTCATCTTTAAAAATCAAAAGGGTACCTTGATAATTATTGAAATGACAATTGCAATTATATCTATATCCAATAAATAATTGTGGATAATGAGAAAAGTGTCCACCTCTCCTTTGACTTTGGGACAGCAAAGATTAGGACCTGTGTTTTGCTTAGTCTATAGTCTATGCTAAACAATTTCAGGCCGTACACTTAAAAAATGAAAATTCACTCCACCAACCTGCTAATTCATTTTTATTTGTACATATATTTATATATTGTGATTATGAATATCCTGACCTTCATTGTTTATGAATAACTGATTTGTTGTTTATTTTTGTTATTGGTTTTTAAGTTGCATTATTTTTTAGTTGGTGTCACTTTTATGAATAGTTTATCCCTTTATCTATTATTTTATTTCGAATTATTGTATATTTATTGCAAAAATTTAAAATAAATCGGGATTTGGTGATACAGATCATATAGGCCTTAGTTGTATATGGGCTGGGCTGGATTTTTTAGTAGTCAAATCTTGAAGCCCAGTTCATTACTATTGAGGCTAAAAGGCCCATTTAGTGGCATTAGTTCTTCCTCTTTTCTCCCAATGAAAATGAAAGGAATGGCGGGTCGAGTTCCCGCCATTTTCAGTACTGGAGTGGCTTTCGGGTCGGGTCAGCGGATCTCCACCAAAATCAAAGCCGAAAGGCTGCATGCTTGTCTATGAAATAATTCATTTCACACTCAAAATCTAACTCAACTTTAACTCAACCCCACTATCATTTATATTATTTATATAATTAAATATTATAAACCAATCATTCTTACATATCACATCAACTTTAATTCACTATTCATCCACTCACATAATTTTAACTACATATCATTTCTAATCATTTTCAATCATTTATATCCTACTTTTACATCAAATCATTAATAATCATTTTATTTTAAATATTATTTTAATATATTATTAAAATCCCACTAACAATTAACCATACTACCTTTTTCAAAATTAACTCTAGTTAACTAAAATAACTTATTTTGAATGAAATATTTCATAAACAAGCATGCCCTAAAGAAGTCTCTTATTTTGCCGTGTGCTGTAAAAGCTGCTAATGGCGTGGTGGGAAGGCGCAAGTGAGACTCGAGTACTCGTTGCCCTAGGTATTCATCTGTTAAATATGGCGTTGAGCGATTTATTTGAGTTTTACTTGATTCACTTTCTGTTTTCTAGATTTATCTGAGCTCATGGTTTTGCAGATCCTTCTGCTAGTGGGAACCGTCTTGGTAAATTTTTGTCACTGCGGCATCCCAGAACAGGTAATTTCCATATAGATTACTTTTTCGTGGTAGCCCTAAAAGCTTTGTAATCAGGGGATGAGAATGTGGCTGGTGTAAACGTTGTTCTTATTGACATATCTTACTTGTTTGTGTTGCGATGTTATTGGGTGGTTTAGCTTGCTTGTGTAGTTGTTCTGTTCCATTTTCTTTGATTTAATTTGTTGTGGTTGTTTTGAATAATCATTTTACCGTGCTCGCTTTTCCTATTGGAGTTGTTAATTGTGTAGTCCTAAGCTCAAGACGTTAAGCTTTAAGGTGATTTGGTTGCATTTGTTAGGAAATACGACGTGCTACCTCTTCAGTGATGGAGTTCTTCAAGAGCTTCACTGGTTCAAGCAATCTTATGGGTCATGGTTCCTGGGAGATTATGTCTGTGAAGGTAAATGTAGATGCATTTTGACTTGTTGACAATATATCGTTACATATTATGCGTTCATACTAAGCTTTTAGAAAGTTGAAGATCCTTATTTTAGTTTTATGTTTGTTTTGTCTTAAACAGATGGTCGCTTGTATACTGCCACGCCAATTGATCCTGTTTTTGTTCTTCTGCCCGTCTTTGAAGAAGCTAGAATGAAGGTTTGCTATTGTTAATTGTTATTGTAGTGAGTTCTGTTTCGGAAAAGATTTTCCCAATTACTTCTGTTTACACTCTTATTGTCATTGTGTGAGTCTCAGTGTGAAGTCTAACGCGTATCTGGACAGAAAAATAGATTATAATGTGATATCTGTGATCCGAGTAGGGATTTGAACTCTTCAACCTCATTTGGCATGATTATTTGTTCGATACACTCTAACATAGTACAAAGCTGGAAACAGGTGTTTTTTCTGTTATGTTTTTCATCTCGAGTGATTTTATATTGTAATGTGTGCAGAAAGGTACTGATCCAGGGAAGTTTCGGCAACTGGATGAGATAATATATGTTAGTGGGTATCCTGGATATGAATCCCTGTCATCTGTTGCGGATACGGCAATGCAAGTCGTTTGTGATTTGAAAGGTAGTCTACTTAACTCTTCCCTTTATAGTATCTGAAAGCTACATACATAGGAAATATAAACGTATACTCGAAGGCAATGCAAGTCGTTTATATATTCCAATGGAAACTGTTGCTCAAAGCTCTTTGTAGATTAAATTCTTTGTACACACATCATAAACCTTTTTGAGATGGACAATCAGTTTTATTTCATTCACGATAAAAAGCATTCTGAAGTTGTGACTTGTGTCACAAATGTCAAAAGTCCTAAGAATTGATGTTTGTTGAACATGATTTTGGCTTCATTGAGTAAGTGTGTGATTTTTGGCAAATATTTTATCATGCATCTATGCTTTATATTCACAAATTTCCGAAAATACTCATTTCTCTGTTTATTTTACATTGAACAGAAGTGGGGTCTACCAGGTTTTTCAGGCTCAATGACTTGAAGGTGCTGAAGTGGTTATGCTATAAGGTTAGTCTTGATCTTGTTGCCTTTTATGCTCATCTTCTCAACAACTTTTACTCATGCAACTGTCAATTGAAAATGTAGAAACATTTACATCATAGGATAACAGGGATCTCAATCTAGAAAATATATCTTGATAGATCCTTCCTGTAACTGTATAGATTTTTAAAATGCTTTCCTTGTTAGATAATAGTTGTATCAGTATATATTTACTGTATCCTGATTGGAATTGTCTGTTCCTTTTGTAGGTACACCAATTGAAGCAGACACTACCGACACTGGATAACAATTATGCTGCTCGAGATGAGAAAGATACATGTATGTTTGTCAGTGAATGAGATATATATATATATTTTTTTTTTTTTTAATTCCGCATTCAACTTAATGAAAAGATGCCAGAAAGTTCATATGTATAAATTACTCTTTTGCATGGAAAATTGGTGTTTTTTTTAATGTTTTGCCGCGTGAAGGTTTATATCTGACCAAACCTTGTCGTAATTCTTCACTGATTCATCTCTTTCTGGCACAGTATTCGAGGTGGTGTCGATTATGCGGGAATACCTGAAGGATGAGCCCTGGGTGGACTTATTGTGCAACAAATTAAAGTAGTGTATTTCAGTATTTCATTTACTTGGAGTACACACATATATTTTCTTATTAAGTGTTAATATAATAGGAAGTAGTATGACGCAATTTGACTATAACCACCTTGTCCTTTTTTGTCCCTTTGAAATCCAACCAATTAACCTCGTAGATGTCTGAATAAAAAAGAGATATGTCAAATAGACATTCAAAGACGAGGCCTTTCATGGATCTAACTTCATCTAAATAAACGAAAAAAAAAAAATTGCAATGTCCGTGTTTCACTAGAATGGCGTACACAAAAAACATGAGTATAATGATGCATGCTCTCACCTGTGTACATTTCTATTAATTATTATTTCATTATTTATTTATATATTCTTTTGGTGCTTTTATTTGCAGCTTAAAATCACAGGACTTTACGGATCCTCAAGATATGGAAATTCCTCAACCTTCCACTGGAAGTGGTCTTGCACAATTTAATCCTAAACAGGTACTTCCACAGCTGCTGTGCTACAGATTGCCATCCAGGGGTATATGATCGTATTTGCAATAAATAAATAAATTTGCAAACTGAGTTATTGCTTGTAGGCCCCTATAAATTTGGAAATTGAAATGAGACGTGAAGCAGATTGTGCCTTCATGTTATTTTTGTTTATGAGACGCTGACTTGGCAACTTGAGCTTCAAACAAAAAACTTTATCCCATGTAGAAATGTTTCTGATATTAATCTTTGATTCTCAGGAGAATAACGAGACAGGCAAGAGAGTTACCCGGGCAACAAGGTCAAATAAGAAGGCCAAGGTGGAAAAAGATTCAAAGAATATCAAGGATATGTTCAGCAGGGCTATTAGGAAAGGATAAAAATGGACTTCTGATTGTGAACTATATAACTCATGTAAGAATTGTTACTAGTCCTAGAAATTGAAGCTTCAAAGAAAAAAACAAAATTAAAAAATTCACCCCTCGTAAAAATGTTTCTGATATCGTTCTCACCTCTTATTAGGAGATTAATGAGGCAGGCAACAAGGCCAAATAAGGTCAAAGTGGAGAAAGATTCAAAGAATATCAAGGATATATTCAACATGGCCACTAGAAAGTCTGAACTGCAGAACCGTAAGTCTTGAACCTGAACACACATTGGGTTATTACCTTGTGCTTGTAAGTTTGTTCCAGCTCTGCACATTAGCTGGAACAGAGGTTTTGAGACTTTACTAAAGTTATTGGGAAGATGTTGCTGGGTCATTTTTATTTTGTTTGGTGAGAGCCTTTCTTTTTTTTTTCTTTTTTTTTGTTTTTTTTTTGTTTTTTCCTTTTACAATTATATTTTATCTTATTTATAAATTGATGGATATATTAATAATAAATTTACTGACTAGCAAAATTATTATATCCCATTACTTTTATTTTTTTAATTCTCTTAAAAACTTTTTAAAATTTCTTTAACAATACAGGATAACTACTTGTGCCAAATTTGTATTTGATTTTGTCTTTCCAAATGAAGAAAGTTCTTGTAGTTGAACCTTGGATTTTATACGATTTCAGTATTCTGGAACTGGAAGTCTCTTCCTCTAGGAAAATGAACAACGAATTGACAATATGAATATTATAAATGTTGGACTCATGGGTAAACTTGGAATTGTCATCGACACACTTTTTAACTTGATCATATGTAGATATGATGAACGCTGAAAATTTTGGGCACGAAGTGCATTTTAAGAATAGTGTGAAGTAGTAGAATTACTCCCATGTTGAGTTTAATAGACTCCAATGGTGTGTAATGAAGTGATACAAGTAAGATGTGTTTTTATTTTCATGTTGTCCTTTTCCCCCCATTTTATTATGAGCATTTTGGTCAAGTCACATGGCGAAGAAGGAGCAATATAACCGGAAATGTTCATTCGGTGTAAACTGTTGGTGATTAAAAATAAAAAAAAAAAAAATGCGGTGAGCGTGGATCGAACACGCGACCTTCAGATCTTCAGTCTGACGCTCTCCCAACTGAGCTATCCCCGCTATGTTGAATCCACGCAGAATAACATTTTTTATCCAAACGATAGTATGAAATTCGCAAATTTTTAGGGAAATCTGGGAAAGCAACTATCATTATTAGTACAATACCATGTACTACACTGTACTTATTAAGAAAATTATATTTTATATTAAATAATAATAACAACAAAAATTATTTTAGTTTTTAAATACATTTTAAAAATATATTATTATTTAATTTAAATTTAAATTGGCACCTTCATTTACACGACTTACCATCTTATATTATATATTTTTTTAATTTATATCAGATAACTACTTTGTAGTTAAATTAGTTTAAGTAATTATATTTTTTTGAATTAATGTTAATATATAATTTAATTTTAATTATAAATATAAATTAACTATTTAATTATTTTATATGTATAATATAGATGACAAATCAAAGTTCATAAAGACTTGACTAATTGAATATATTATATATAAAAATTTAATATATATGTATAAAAATTTTATATATTAATCATTTTGATCATAGCAATCAATTTGGAAGAGTGAAAGATTCCAAAACAAAATTTAAGGCTATGTTAGTCACATAAGCAACTATAACTAAGTTTACAAAATAAATTAAGGGTTTTATTAGTCAAAGTAATATGGAATTATCTAAGTTGATTTTTTTATAATTATGAAATGTTCGAACCTAAAATTATTGATTTAGAATAACATTATTTTTTATCCAAACCAAATTACGAAGCATGATTTTTCGCCAAATAGGATTCCGAAACGCACGAGCCTGCCACTTAGGCTCAGCACATTCTTGATTTATATATAGGGGGGATTTTCACTTCTGTCTTCACGCAAAATAGAGGCAATAAAAAAGAGAGAAAAGAGTAAAAATCCTTGTCATTTTTTTTTTCCAATTGTTCTAAAAAACGACTTGCAAGGTGATGAAATCCCTTGATATTTATTTGGGTGGAGATAAAAATTCTTCTTCTTTATTTTTTAGGTAGTGATAAATATAATATTTATTATGTAGAAATTACAAATTCAATGCTTATTGCTCTTTAGAGCGTGATATGTCGAAATAGAGAATTTTATTGATTGTATATTTATAATATTTTTTTGTATATCAGATATGGAGATATATTTTCAAAAAAGGTCCGTCAACAAAGTACTTGTGAAAATGTCTCAAAAAGAGATACTTTGAATCCAAATAGATTTGAGGGAAATTCTGATAGCACTAGGCAAAAAGAGAATACGACCGAAGGTTTTATGGTGATCGAGGAGTTCGATTCTTCTCAACTTCCCTATGATCCGAGATTGAGAATTCCAATCTCAAGGTACATTCTAAAGATTAGAGACCAAGTTCGAAGAGCATATTTGCAGAAAGGTACTTGTCAACCGTTTGATCAACATTTTCCCATGATGAAAGCCTCAACGTCGTCAACAAAAGCCAGAAGATTTATTACTGGTTGGTTTACTGAACATGAGTGGTTGGAGTATAGCATTTCTAAATATTTTGTCTATTGTCTCTATTGTTATCTTTTTAAACCAAACAGAGGAAAACAATCAGGTGGGGAAAACTTTGTTACAGAGGGATTCAGATCTTGGAAATGTGATATTATTATCGAGCGATATCAGGCCATGAAAACTCGTAAAAAACGACTATGAAGGTATGTCTTTCTATTTGCACTTTTCGTTATGATATTGTATATTTTTTTCATTAATTAATTAGCCCCTCCCCCCCAATTATATTTGCTAGATCCGCTCCTAGATAAACGTAGAATAAAGTGAAAAGAAAAAAAATATTAATGATAGAATTTTGTAACGTCTTTTGGCGGAAAACGAAAATATTTTTATTAATTGCTTTGCTAGAAATTATATATATATATATATATATATAGAGAGAGAGAGAGAGAGAGAGAGAGAGAGAGAGAGTCCTTTGAAGCAGCTGCATTAGAGAAACTATTATTTTTCTAACTTATTAGCGACTTGACTTACCAAATATATGTTTATACTGAGATCTGTACTTGCAGGTAACTGAAGAGATGGACTTCTCAGAATAACAATTTGCTGATGAATTAGCATGATAAACATTTGAGTGGTGAACTTTATTATATTGTGTCTGACCTAAACTTATATTATATGCACCGTGGAATATTACGCTTTAACCATCTCAGGTGTTGTTGGGATTCCCTTTTCTAACATGCAAGTATTATTCTTACCTAAATTTTATTAGTGATTAGATTTCTTTGTTCTCTGGTATTTCATTTGTCACGTTGTCAGTTATGATGTCAAAGTTGCACAAAAGAAGTTCAATGAGACATGTGTCATCTAAAAACCTTTTAATGGGGAACGAGTGGTACTGCAAGCAAGCCTTCCGGGCTCTAAACCAAGCTACATGTAGTTTTTTTACCGTTCAAGCTATGAACAATTATATCTAACAAAAATTTTTCTACTTCTAATTGTGTGTGAAACTCGGTGGAGTGGATGATTGTACTCAATGTGTTGTACTCCAACTCTTTCAAAATTCCATCTTATTTTTCGAAATTTATTTAGAAACTAAGCTCTCTATTTTAAATTTATTATGTTAGGGCATTTACCACATATCAGGTAATGAAGGGAAATCATACCTACAAACTAAAGAATGCCACATGAGTCTATCCAAACGTAAATTTATTTTTAAACAATGTTATTTGGTAACTTGTAATTTCATTTTGTTACTAAAAATTTCATCATTAGATTTATCTCATTTTTCCTAAGTATTTAATTAATTTTATAGGGTTATTTTTTTTCAAATGTCACCAACAATTGGGAGATGGAGAATGTAAGTATTTCGTTATGAGATATACATTGGAAATCATCACACTCGACATTACTACAACCTTGGTAAGGTAATTTTGAATAAATTGTAAATATCGAGCACTATTTTATTTTGAAGTAAAAATTTGTTTTCTTTTATTCATATGTTATAATTATTTTTTAAATTTTAGGTGTTTTAATTTGAACGAACCCTACTCAAAATATGATATGATGATGTAAGGAGACATTGGACTCACCATTTTCTCGATATCACTTCATTAATGAAAGAGGATAAAATTGTAGACTTTCGTCGGAAACTATCTTTATTTTGACACGCTTGATAGTTTGATGTACATGTGGTGTGTGCTAAATTATTTGTACTGTTTGTCTGTGGAGTTGAACCATACGTTGGTGTGTTAGCATTGAAGTAATGTGGTAAAAATGTTTTTTTTTTTGTTATTTGTTTGTTGGAATGATAGTTTTGTTGGTAACAAAAGTTTTTTTAATATACGGGTGAAAAAAAAAAAGAATGTTGCACCAATTTTTATACCAAGTCGTCGTTAATAAGGAACCGTTATTAACTGTTTAATAAGGAACCGTTATAAACGACAGTCTGTTTATAACGGTTCCTTATTAAACAGTTATAGGAAAAATTGTCTTTTGTGTCCTGTAAGTTGTGCCTGTGGTAAATGTGGACAACTATTTTTTTCGTTTGGCAAAACATGATAGTAACTTGTTAAAACCCGAAATTCATTCCCAATTTACCTACAAGTTACCGAATTTCACCGATAGATACAGACTCACCGTGGTTTATCCTAGGTGGATGTGCATATGCCACAGAAGATCGCCAAATCAATAGAATTTCTTTTTCGTTTGGTAAAACAGGACAATAACTTGTTAAAACCCAGAATTCGTGCCTAATTTACCTATAAGTTACCGAATTTCATCCAAAGGTGTTGAATTTTCAGTTATTGAAACATACCTAGCACATCAGTTATTGAATAACCAATGTGCAAAACGGAAACGTACACATTGATTTTTTAAAACCGACGTGTTAATTAAGACAAGCCTAGCACATTGGTTGATAAAAAAACCGATGTGACAAATGACAACTATTGATTTGTTACATCGGGTATAAGAAAACCTTCAAGAAAATTGAATTTTACATTAATAAAAAATAATATTTATCTATCATATTTGTGTTTTTAAAAAATGCTAACATTAAATTAATGTATGAAGGGAAAGAAATCTCAGTTATTTTCTTACAATGTATTTGGAATTAATCGAGGAAGGAGATATTCTCAAGAGTCAACAAGGGAAAAAGGAAAGAAAAAGTTCCACAATATTGAAGATATAGAGACACAATTAAATCTGTATAATTTGAGCAAGATAATCGTGCATGTTGACTTACAAGGCATGTGGATTCCATTTTGAAAGTTGAACGTGAAGATCGTAAAGATTTGGAAATTCTCGATTTCTGATAAATGTATATATAATTTATAGTTTTCTATATAGTATAGTTTCACATTCTGGTCATAGTGCGAACTATTCCATTATTTATACAGAGAATTTGCAGTTTTTATTATTGAGAGCTCGTGAGTTTTTGTTTAGATTTTATAGAGTGATTGATTCCGGATGTTGATATATCGTTGGAAATTCGAACCATTTGTTTGTTTTTCTATACTTGGTGCTTGGGACCAACATCTCCATAGGGTTTGGAGGATCCATAAATGCAACCTAAGTCCACATCGTAACCAAAAGAGTAATAAGGTAGGTTAAGTACAAAATAGGTTAGCAAGAGAGAGTTTTAGTGAGTAAATCCTATTTGTACTTGTTGACAAAAAACTTGTTTAATGAAAGAGTTTAGAGTGTGAGTGAGAAGTTTTCTTGAAATATTGTTTTTTATTATTAATTTTCGTATATTTGCATGAACTTATATTGTTTTTAAATTATGTCCAAAAATTCTACTCCCCCGAAATTTCAAAAACCGACGTAAGTAGTTTATTTCCAAATATATCACCGCACCATTTGTTACTTTGATTTTTCAATTATCCATATAAAAATCCTGTTATAACAAGTGTATTTCTACGTAGTGTTTTATATACAATAATATATGATAAATATCACAAAATCTTGACACCTAATGGTGAACACATCAACTACTTGGGATTTAGTGTGAATAAATCATGAGCAGAAGGTGCTATTATTACTAAGTCCTTTATTGTGACCAATGTTTTTATTATAATATCCTTTAAGGATCTTCATACGACCATAAGGTAGGAAAGTGAGATATAGTAACTTCACCATTTTATCATATGTTTTCTCAAATCTCAAACATGAAATAATATTTATGCAAAATTACTAAATCATCATTTGTAAACTTCCCGAAACATGTGAATTGAGATCATGTTCTAATTGGACATACAATTAATTAGGGAATCTGACAGGTGAATATGATCAATGAAGGTTTCTAATTGAAGTGTCGGCAGAGAAGGCCCCATTTAACTAATTTGAATTAAAAAACAATCATATTTTCCCATATTATCCACAATTTGTGCTTGTAAAAATAGAGTACTACTACATAATTTGTGAAAATAAAGAAATATTTCAATTAATCTGTCCTTATTGGATTCGAAAAGTATTGACCCAACTATTATTATAGGTCCGAATCTAATGCATTCATACTGTTAGAATATCACCTGTGAGTTGTCCCACATCGTTTATACATAGAAAATAGATTCACCTTATAAGTCTAATGTGCTACTCCTCCTTCCACCAATTGATTTTGAGATGTAACCCTACTTGAGCTTCATCTGTGCTTTTCTTTGCTTATGGTGCGCTTCACTGCACTGATTTCCTCCAATTTCACACTTCACGTTTTACATTTGTTATATGTTCCAAATTGTTATTTCTTTTTATTTTCCTTTCAAATTTGGAAATTGGTGTTTTCTCCAATATGGTTCAATTATGGCATTTAGCCTGTACATTAGCGAATAACAAATAATTGATAACCGATTTAATTAGCTAATAATAAATAATTGATTGAATTAGCACATGTGACCATCTCATTGGATAGCAGTCAAAGTATTCGATAAATAATTAATTGTTTGATATGTAAAAGTAACTAAAGTTATAATTATCCATTCCAAAAAGTTCATGCATTGATTTTTTTTAGCCTCTACAAAAAAAATAATGAATTCCCATGTAAATATATTCAAAAGGAATTCCAACAGCATTTTTAATGAATATATTCTAATGTTATTAATTTTTTCCATTGGAATTTTCAATATATTCCGGTGGAATGACTTGTATTGGAGTTTCCGTTGAGTTTTGATGATGCCCACGTTATATTTTTCTAACGGTTGAAATATAACCAAAATAAAAATCTCGATTCATCATTTATAAATGATCTATACACTCCTACACCAATAATAAATCATTTTATTTATAAAAACCACATATCAACAGTGACGAAACTCGCGGACCCAAAATTTAATACAGAATTAGCCTAATTTAAAAATAATGTCATTGCTAGAAATACCAAATATTTGAAACATATTTAATAGTAATATCATGACGAAAAGTGCTACAATGTACACTCACATTGCTGCTTAAATTTAGCTATATATAACCATAGTCCAAACCTTAAAGGGTACTCTTTTGTTAAATAAATTTCTTCTCAAGATTTTGGGGGGAAAATAGGGAAATCATTGAAAAGAATTATTAAATATCCTAAAAGTTGTAATGACAGTTCAATGTGATGTAAAAATAATATAATACTAGCTAGCTCATCGAACTGAATACCCAAAATCAATTAGAAAAAAAAATAGGTTTAATAATCTGTAAAATTTATTACAATTTTTGTATAGCAACTTGTTAAATTGATATATTATTTAATAATTTTGCTGATTTATTAAGTTTGGTACTCGCCAAATTTGGCATAATTTGGCAGATATAAACTTAGCAGACCAAATGAAATTGTGCCTCTTGTGGGATGGGGCATATCATGTGATCTTCCTAACTAGTTTACATGTACACAACAGTATATTTTCAAGGTCAAATGAAAATCAATCTTGTGTGAAATGTGCACAACATTTTGATTTTTCAGAGTCAGATGAATATGAACAAGTATGACTATGAGTCTATGAATTTTAATTAAAATTAATTTTAATTCTTTCGGGCAATGCTTACTTGTAGAATCGAAATTACTGGTTTTGGCTTTGGATGTAATTTAGACTTTTTTCAGGAGATATTTCCCATTTTGTTTGGCTTTTTGCCACAAGCACCACATTTATGTGTAGCACAGGCTTTAACTGAAAATGAGCATCTCTACCTAAACCAAACAGCAACAACAAAAGTCTGCAAAAAGTGAAAAATATATGATCCCAATATGCATAGGATCACAAAAATAGCTCCTTTTTCTTTTGTCTTCTTATAAACTTCCTCAACTATCATTAAGCATTTTTCTCATTTCTCTAATGGGACCCCCAAATTCCTCTTAATTATACCCAACANGTAGCTATATATTACTCCTAGTGCTTTTTATCTATCTAACTATTTATATATTTATCTTCCTCTTGTTCATCATTATTCATTTGCATGGCTTTTCTTGTTTATCTCATCTTGCTTTTCTTGTTCCCTTTGGGAAACAACGGTGAGGGTCCACCTTCACCCGGTTACTACCCGAGCTCGGGAATGGGCTCGATAGAGTTCGACCGAGTGTTCGTGAATTTGTGGGGCCCTCAGCACCAAAGGCTCGATCAAGAGGAACTCACCATTTGGCTCGACTCGACCTCAGGTACCGATTTTATACGTCTACTGGCCTCACTATATAATGTCATGAAGCTTATTGGTCGAAAAAAGTTGTATTTTATATATTTATTAGCGTATTTTTATATATTTAAGTTTGTTACACCAGAAGACTGACTTTTTTGTTACAGGCAGTGGATTTAAATCGTTGAGTTCATATTCTTCCGGCTATTTCGGTGCGTCGATTAAGGTCCATCCTGGCTACACTGCAGGAGTCGACACGTCGCTCTACGTGAGACTTTTAAAAATTGGTCTCCTAATTGAAATTTAATTTTGAAAAAAAATAAAAAAATTGAAATGTTTTATGTTATTATTGTTATAAGTATGGTTATTTGAAATTGATTAATTAAATTGCAGCTCTCAAATATTGAGGCCCATCCAAGGGACCATGATGAGATAGATATAGAGTTTTTGGGCAACATAAATGGGCAGCCTTATGTTCTCCAAACAAATGTGTACATAAGGGGCAGTGGGGATGGGAATGACATGATAGGGAGAGAAATGAAATTTCACCTTTGGTTTGACCCAACACAGGATTTTCACCATTATGCCATCATCTGGAATCCAAGTGAGATCATGTGAGTCAAAATTGAGCAAGTCTTAATTAACCACATATTGCTAAAATTTGATTATTTTTTGTACCAAAAAAAAAAATGATTATTTTTATATTTATTTTTTTCACTTCATGGAATTCTTGTTTTACTTTATCATGTGCATAGATGGGGAATTTGTTGTACAAAATTTATAATGTGTGCATGCATATGGAAATCGTTTCAGCATAATGGTAAATGGGGACTTTCGAGCAAGCAGGCCGATTACCATAGAAAGTGTTTTTAATATTTTACTGGTTTAATAGTTCAACGGCCTATTTTATTGATTTTAATAAATATTAATTAAATTTATTATTTTAATGTGTATAAAACCAACTTTAGTTAAACTAAAATTGATTAAAATTTTATGATATCGTAAACACATTATAATTAATCCTAGAACTATCAATTTATATAAAAAAAATCTTGATAAACTATTAAAAAGTAATTAAAAGCAATCCCACATGTCTGGTAAATGGCCAGTTTCCGGTATGAATCGAAATTTTTGTGAAATTGGTTTTTAAAAAGCTTCTTTATTGGCGGGACCACGAGTAACTGATATTACGGTATCAATACTAGATAACTAGATCTTATTATTTTGAAATATTTTAATTTTGTGGAACGGGAAAAGAACATTACACGCATATTAATGAGACTTTTAAAAATTTAATTTTAATATTCATATTATATTTATTTTTATATAATTAATTTGAAAATTATTTTTTATATCTCGTCCTATGTATTAAATGGATCTTTCTGCTAGCTGGGCTTTCACATCCTCTAACGTCTCTCTAATGGGCCCTTTAACATAACTTTGGGCTGTAGCTTTTTCGTGGATGATGTGCCCATCAGAAGGTACACAAGTAAAAACGAGGCCACATTCCCTATGAGGCCCATGTTGGTTTATGGATCCATATGGGACGCCTCAGATTGGGCCACAGAGAATGGTAAATACAAAGCTGACTACACTTACCAACCATTTATTGGCAAGTACAAGAATTTCAAGGTTAGCGGCTGTGACGCCGACACCAACACCGCCACCTGCAGCCCGGCTTCCGGCAGTCCTTATGGGCCCAATGGGCTGAGCAGCCAGCAGTATTCGGCCATGGAATGGGCCCAAAACAATTATATGGTTTACGATTATTGTCGGGATCCTCAGCGAGACCATAGCCTAACACCCGAGTGCTAGGGATTGATAGTGTCATAAACTGTGGTTTGTATGTTATTGTTTTTCAAAGCTAAGGTTTTGGAGTGTCTTTGGGATGTGCACAACTAGCAAATAATGGTGTAAAAGGAATATGTGGAAGAGAAAGCATCCAAACCTCCAAAGAATTGAAGTTTTAAATGATAT